TGGCCACCCCTGATATAAACAGTGGTTCTGAAGTGGATTAATTTCTCAGTGTTATGGTTCTTCTATTTTGCCGCTTCTTTACATACAACTGATTGATTCTGGTTCTGAAACTAGTGGATTTTAAAACTTTCATATTACATGTTACAATACATTACTCTAAGAATTATGCAAACTGGTTATTCTTAGGCATCTTACTGGCAAACTGTGTACTTATACATGTTCATTGGTAGAAAACAGTCACTAATCTATGGATGTCTAAGATGGCATGTTGTCTGCACCAGGTACTAACAAATCGGTCAGCTACTTTCTAACTATTGAGCTATGAAGAGTTTATTTTGACTTGACATACCTGCCTAGAGCAACAAATCAATATATTATGCTTATCCACTTTTGCAGAATAGAGGTGAAAGCAATATAACTAAAAGTTGCTCTTGTAAGTTCTAAAATTATAAATATACATCTTTTATTTTTTAAACAGCACCATCTTTGGTTGTTGAATTAAAAAAAAGCATGTTCTGATGTGATATGATATTTACTTCCTCAAACAATCTAATGCTCTAGATCAAATCTCTTCACTCGGACTCTTTGTTTATAATGATATTCTTTCAGGTACCCTTTTAATGCCTTTGGAAGATGGAGTTGGTTGATACTGTCATAGGTAGTCTTGCTGCACACTACAGCTCGGCACAAATGTTGCAAGGGAAAAGTAAAGTTACGATGGAGAGGAAACGTAAGCATAGGTTCAAAGAACATGCAGCAAGATGGGTCCTTATAATGTTCAATAAGACCACAAACTGTTGGAGATGCAAATACACCAGGATCATGAGAATCAAAGCTGAAATGGTGATTCCATTGTTCAATGCGGGCATGAAGTGAACGCCCATATTTACGGAAGCTTACAGAAAATAAATATTCTTCTTGTGCTGAGTCACGAAGCAGAAATGTTCCTTCAGGACGACCTTCCAGCAATTTCTCTGCTTCAAAACGATCCATTTTGCCCCAATAAAAAGAGCAAGATGTTATTTGTAATAAGTCTGGTACCAAACAATGAATATAATCCACCTGTGTATGAACAACACGTTGACTGGATGATGAAAGACTCACATCCAACTGGGACAAAGCTGTAAGAGCTGCCGAATGTATGCTTAAGTGTGTCTGGAATAATGCAGTCAGGTTGTCAATTGTTAATTCTGGGGGACACAGCAACTGGATATGTTGTCCAGGACAGAAGCCGGGAGGAGGTTCGACACCCTCTGCCATTTCCCGGGCCCGTTCCTGCCTGGCTTTTTCATCACAATCTTCAATTGGGTAGTCCGCAGGATTAAACTTAGACATGTCAATTAAGCGGTCTGCTGGTGATGGGGCTGCCACTGCCGCATTTTCTTCACTGATACTGGTACTTGAATCACTGCTTGGGTAAGACTCCAGCTGTCTTGGTGCAGCTTCAAATACTACACCTGCCCCAAGGTGATGTTCTTCTGTTCTTCGATAACTTGTGCACATACAAGATTCACAACCAACATTGGGTTCTGGAATGTCTGTTTCTGATCCCACCCCCCCACAACTACCACCTCCTTTCAAACGAGCACAATTGAATTTAAGAACCCAATTGTTACGCTTCTTCTTATTACTTGAGCTTGCAGTTTCCTTTGGTGATCTCACTGATTTAGCCCGAGATCTTTTCCCATTCACAAAAGATAAAGTTCTAGATGTACCACGGCGCAAACTTCCTATATTTTGTTCTTCAGATCTCTTACAAGGAGGATGCATAGAATTTTCATCTTTACATCTCTTTCCACAAGTATGGTCTTTATTTTGGCATAAGCATGAATACAGAGATCCAGCTTGCTCTACCATATTACCATTTTTTTCTTCACTCTTTGAAGCCTCAGCACAATTACTATATATATTCTCAAAGTGCTGATCTACGCCTTCTGCATTATTACCATTAACATTACTATGTGAAGTGGCTACATCTACAGTTAAACTTAAAGAATTACTGTTACCCATTCCACTTCTATCACTTTCTCCTTCAATATGTTCACTTGAATCATCGCGGTTGATCAATGTATTACCAGCAATATCTGCTGGTATTGTACTTCCTATGTTTTCCATTGTGCTGAAAAGTCCTTTCAAATCACTGAACCTTTGGCCCATCACTATCCTCTTTAGAAAAGGTTTCCACTTCTCCATACACAAAGGTGGTGTACATCCATTTTAAATATTGTTTGCAGTCCTGAAACAAAGTAAAAGTATTAAATTTCCATTACTGCAAGTGTTCCTGGAAAGAATTTATGACCACTATATTTCATACTGCTTCCACCTGACTACAGATGGCAGCCAACTTACAAATTAACAGTGTACTCTAATTTGAAGTATGAAAAAACAAAACAAGTCCAATGGGCAAGATCTGAATAAGTATGGAAGATGTATTCTTAACTATTAAAAGGTATCACACGATATATACACAGCAATACAAAAATAGGTTAGTCTAATATGATGAGAAATATGAAAAATGTTATTTTGACCTTGCAATCCATTGTTTATAAGATTACTTATAGTATGTTAATTTTAATAACCATGAGGTACAAGTAGCAGACATTATTTTACACATCCTACATAACTTTTCAACATCCTCGCAGTAAGCACAAACACTTGCAAGAATACATTATTTTTAAAAATGCAAAACATCTTTCATCCACACTCTGTACACTTCTGATATGGATTACTGTGCATGATTTCATGGTAACTGATTATGATTAATGTTCTAGAATTTCAGAAAAAGCTTTTGAGAACCCAATTGCTTCTTGGCACGTGTAGTACTGGCCCTGAGGAACATGCAATGTAAGCAAAATAATAATGCAACCATTACAATGATACCGGCATAAGACAGTTTTTAAAATGAACATAATGTACGAAAAAATAACCTAATTCCATAACAATACTTCTTACCTTGAGCATAATGTGGCTCTGGCTTTAATGACCAGAATAATTACGTAATTGAATTGGTTTTGTTCAACCTGCAATGTAATAGTTAAAAATAATACAGCATAAGTTTTAAAATAAGGAGGGCAAGATATGGGCAAAATCTTCATTACAATGTTTCATGAATGAATTCACATGTCACAATGACAAAACAATCAGTCGACGAATATGGTAGCCATCTTGAGCTAGATTCACGAAGATTGAACATGTCAAGACATGTACTGCAATAAACATGAAACTTAACTGTAGAAGTAAACACACGTATCGAATTATTTAAGATTATATGTGCACTTTTATCACCACTTGAAATCCTGTCCCTGTATACAAAAGAAACCCTACGTTTTGATACTACCTTTCATACCTACAATTACATTGTGTTAATTACCAACATCAGCCATTGATACTTGTCATAACATCATACTTTTTTCCTGTTTGTGGGCGAATGCTATTTTGTTACACATATTTTGATTACATGTCACATCACTGTACAATTACACTGCATACACGTACTCTATTTACCTGGACCGACCTGAGCAGGGATTACCTGCAACCTGGGCTCCTTGCTCCATTAACCCAGGAGTGGGAGCTAGCGGAAGTTGCAGTTTTTTGTACGATGACATGGACGTCTCAAGATGAAGCTTTTCAAACAATTAAATAGTTACAAAAATATTCGAATTTCAGTATTAAAATTACATTCTCTAATGAAAGATAAGTAAAACAGTCAATGTGGTTATTTAATAACGTGAAACTGAAAGTTTTGTGATAATATATAAACGAGTTAAAGACGATTTAGTCATCTGAAGTCAAACTCGTCGTAATATTTAATTATTTACACCCTACCTAAAAAACAACCCATAACCATTACAAAAATCTACTGGATAATGCTGTTTACTTTGAAAGTAATATGAAACCGATAAACAAACCTTCCGAGCAAAACGCAAATTATGGAATGTACAGCACGTGGTACATATAATTACCACTAGGCTTTAAAGGGTTAATCATGGATAATACCAACAGTACTATTACTTAATATTATAACATTCTTTTCGAAAACATGCTGACGACAAGAGCCAAAAACAGAATTAGCACAGTAAGAAAATGAGAACACTAAACTAAATAATCACTCAACACCTACTATTGAGATGGTGTCCAAAAATGATATTTGGAGTGCATGACAGCTACCTAACAAGACACACAGTAATAATTATAATAATAAAAAACATCTTTTTGGTTTTGCCTTCCACATGAAACAAATGAAAACAATACATGATAATAACATAGCCAGAAGAAGATATAATATTCTATGCATCAAGATTTGTATACGCCACAGAGAAGCTGATATGATGAAATGCACAATATCTTATTCTTCGAGTGCCTTCTCTGCTAGCAAAGGTTGGCGATCACATCACTAAACTCTTCACGATCCTCTGCGAGACGGAACAAGGCAGCCGCACTTTGGAGAATATTTTGTTACCACGATAGTTTAGCACCTCTGCCCTATTTAAGGGGCACCGGAACTCAGAGCTGTGATTAATAGTGAAGTAGATGTGATTTTCCTTGGGAGTTGTAATGCAGTGGTAATATCATGTTCCATTTATGTAAGGTATAATAACAGCCTGGCACATCATCCAATGGAGACAGTTTCCATGTATGGATAGTAGCTGTAAAAATATTGCATAAGGAGCCAAAGTCAGCTGACAACGAGGCATCCTCCAGCTTGAGGGTTGGGCATAAATGTAAAAATGATTTACACATGAAGGAAAATATTAGGACATAAGAGGGATAAAGGAGGTGGGAAATGTGCTTGGGTAGGATATTACACAATGAGGAATTTTATTTATGTAAGTCATTTTGTGTGAATGATTTTTTCCCCCATTCAACTTACGAAATATACATGAAATTCCTTCATCATGAAAATAAAATTATTTTCCCATGGTATGCATTTGTGATCAATTTAACAAACCAATTTCAAATGTGTCTAACAGAACCAAAATTTTGAGCAGTTAAATGGTGAGCATTTCTGCTTCATATATTAGAGATTCCATGTTTGAACTTCAGAATTGTGGCTGTCTATCTTGTCTTGTTCCTCAGCCTGTCTGGGAAAATTCTGGGATAATACCTTAAATTATACCATAAGAACTTAATACCACAATGTCTGTAATTCTCAATTTATTATTCAGGTTCATATTTATATTTAACATTATATAACCTATACAAATAAAGTTAAATAATTTACTGAGGGAAAATTTTTATATACATATTTCTTTGGCCAATTCTGTCCCAAAAGGGATATAAAGTGAGGTGAAATGACATAATCACTGAATGATCAGAACTGTGTGTGTCCAACATTGAAGGAGGAGCACAAGAGGGATGTGTATGATGTAAGCAAGTCATCCATTTTGTAGCCAAGTGAGGTCTCACAAAGAAGCTTGGAGCCACGCACCAGGTTCCCAATTGAGACATGAAAGAATGTATTCCCTGATGACCAATTGGAAATGCAGGTGAATGGATGCACAGCCAAAATTTCCTGCAAACAAATATGCAGATATTACATGTCCAAGAAGTATGCATGTCATAACCATGGTATTACTAACCAAGTCAAACAAGGAGGTTGATTCTTCTCTGATGTCTGTGTCCTGTAAAACTCATAAAGTCTACTTCTCTGTTGCACAGATTTCTAGTCAACAAGCCTTATGTTTCTTAATATATATTTTTTTTATTATTAGTGTTCTGTCTGACGACAGGTCTGTTTACTTGGCAGATGATTCAGAAGTGGTTTGCCATTGCCTTCATCTGTATGTAAATGATGATGAATGTGAAGTAATTGTTGGGATGCCATGGAGAAACCGGGGAAGCCCCGGAGGAAAACTCCGTGATACCTGGACCACGGCCTTGCCCAACACAAGTTATAAATTTGGGCACCACCGGGAATCGAACCCAGGACCCCAGGATTACAAGGCCAGCGTTCTAACCGCTAGACCACCGTGGCAGTTTTCTTAATATTATATGTAGGTAATGTTCATTAAAAATATACCAAAAAGAAACACAATGTAACACGAGGTGGCATTAAGTGCAGATGATAAGATATCAAATTACATCACTTTTTTATTACCTGCAACAAAATGTGTTACAGAATGTTGTTACTATTATTATGGTCTATTACCTGACTTAGGATAGATTTTTTAACATGGTAATGAACCTTCAGATTTCATAAAAGAAGTGAATTTCTTGACTAGGTGTTTAATTATGAACTTTCCAAAGAAGACACTATACCATATACAGGTAGGCCTCAATTTGCGCTGATTCAGAATAATGCTTTGCTTTGTGATTTGTATGGTTAAAAACAAGAAACAGTATCTGAAGTAATATGTACCTTGGTGTGGGGATGGATTATGCTGATACCCCTCTTGTTAATGGCAACAGTAATCACTTCAGGGTAGCTGCTGTCAGTCGTCTGTTTTACGTCAAAGAATGCAGATCCAAAAGTGGGCCAAATGTGGATATACTGCAGGAAAGTTTCCTTTGCAACATCTGGTTTCATACCTGAAAGACATATAAATAAGTACTTTCTTCTGCTAATTAGTTTGTGTTAACTAACTACATGGAGCAGAGTTCTTGAGAAATTGATAATTTGCTTAGATAGTCAAGAAAATTTCTGCCCTTTATAGAATGCAAGGCTCATTACTACATTTACAAGAGACTGCCAACTATGTCACACTACTTCACTTCTGTTGAATATAAATGTATCACAAAATTAATATAAAATTATAAAAATAGTTAAGAATGGTTTCTGTTAAATTCCAATCAAAACAGAATACTGCAAAAGGAAATTATGACTTGAAGATGTGTTTATAACTTGAAACATGTAATCGCAAGACATAAAGTGAAATTGTTGTGTACAGATGTAGTCAACCAAATCTAAATTATATATAATTGAAGCATTATTATACTCACCAGAATTTTGTGCAAATGCAGAAGAAATAGATTTTTTCCAGTCACTTGTGCTCTGTATTTTCAATAGATTTGCAGGCACCAATTCTCCCAGAATTTGACTAAGACAGTAGTGAAAAAAATGCATTCTTAGTGATTTTTACAAACATTACAGTTATACTGCTAGTGCTAAGACACTAATTTTATGAAAGCCATTACCTTACAAAAACAGTCGCTTGATTTCTGACATTTACTTAAATAAACCAGAAACTGAAAACATCTGGCTTCTCATGGCCTTTATGATGGTGATAATGGACCTCTTAGTTCCTTAACAGGAAAACTGATGTTCAAGAACTGCTCAAAGGAAACATAGAGTCACTTTGCGGTTCAGAAAATGAGTAAACTGAAAGACACAACTAACATTACAGAACAAAATCCTTCTCAAGAATCTGATAGTTTCCAAGCTGGTAAAGACATTCTCTACCATTTATGGAACACATTACTGTGTTTACTAGAGCACACCATGAGCCCTTATCCTGAGCCAGATGTGTACTATATGTCTGCCAATCTACTTTTCCCAGATTTAAGCCTAATAATATTTGATGAATAGTACATATTATGCAGTTTTCTCCTTCCTACGATCTAATATTTTCCTCAGTATTTTGGTCTCAAATACCTTCAAGCCATGTCCTTTGCTTGAGATGAGAGACCAGAAAGTTGGGGGGGGGGGGGGGGGG